CCTTGGTTCAAACCCTGGTAATGGATGTGTACTGTCCATGATTTCTAAACTAGGATGAAACAGCTGTCCAGTGCTAGTGAAGTGCGGGTTTTTAATGGTTCTCTAACTGATATCAATCCGTGGTCAAACTTGTCAATGCAGATTTCAGCAAAAAACAATCTATCGCCTTTCGACATATTTTTGTCCACTTTACACGCATTAATCGATTGTCCATTTTCACAAATTCTGTCATCCGGATTTCTACCTCCTATTTCTAAACTCCAACTAGTCATCCTATTCTAGATTATACCTTACATTATGTAAATCGAAACTTGAATGTGGAAGATGGTTTAATCTGTTGAATAACTAGTTCCCTGTTAAGCAGTTGTAAAATTTAAAGTTACAAAGTTCAGAGTAAAAACATTCACCCGGAAAATATGTTTCACATACCAAATACATGATTAACTTAATGTTATAAATGCCGGGTATAGTAGCAACTAGTAAATTATTAAACTGACTTTATGCATTAACAGTTTGCAGAAGTAGCAAGCCACAAAATCATTGTGATTTTGTAGAATGATGTCCTTTTCTGAGTTTAATCTCTCTCATTAGACAGTAGGGAGCTTGGTTGTCCAGCTGGAAAATAGTCGTTTGATGGTAACATTACACTGATTTAACCAGCAAACAATAAATCGCCGAAGTGTACTTGTATCCAACTACTTTCATCAATAGGTAGAGTATATAACATCATGAGGATTTAGCACTTTGAATGTTCACAAAATGCTTCCCACCAATAAACTTGAATAAACAAAAACAAAATATCAAATCCACTGAAATGATATCAGCTTGAAAGTTTTTTAATATCTCACGAGTTTTTTCAGCTGAGTACAGTCTGAATAATACCAAGAATGTATTTAATTCAAAATATTTGGAAACATTTCACACATTAGTCTCGTAGATAAGTTTCAATAGAGAAATGAAAACAAAGACCAGATTTGATGGATAAAATGATATCATCATTCTGTTTCGCAGGCACTCGTCAACTGCGCAGACTACCTGAAAATACATCAGTTGTAAACAATGACAATAAAATGCTTCAATATTTGAATGGAAGTAGAGAAAACGGTGAAGTCAAAGTGTCATGGACAAGGTGAAGATCTTCTGAAATTCGACCTTCAAGAACGAATCAGATTCGAGGAATTTTCACACATTATGTCATCCCAATTTCTACCTCCTATTTCTAAACTCCAACTAGTCATCCTCTTCTAGATTATACCTCACATTATGTAATACATTTTCTACAACAAGTTTACCAATATCTGATTGGTCTTATAGGTTCTTTGTTAAAAATAATTACGGTTTTACGGCTAATCAAAATGAATCGTAAAGAATAAAATTGTTATTTCTGTGTACGTCTTTTCCTTAGGATTCAACTAGAGGATATTCCGTTCATTCAAGAATTTCAAGGATCCTGTGGTAGTGAAGGAACTGGAAAAATCCCTGTGTTTCTTTGTCTTGCTTGCTGAAGTTAACATGGAACCTAGTTGTGGTTGGAATGCGATAAATAGCTTTAAAAGCTTTATTGACATCAGTCTTACTGCTCACTGCTCACGAGGTATGCCATAGCAGAGTTATGAATAGATCTTGTTCGTCCGTTGCTTAAACATACAAGAGGATATACGGAATTTCGATGATGAACCTGCCTAATTGTACTCCCAATGTAACTAGCCCCATAGGAGCAGCGAAAACTGGTAGGTAGATACGCACACAGCAGACAATATCAAGTGGTCAATGAAATGTAGCTATATATAGCCTTTGCAGTACGTCATCATGCCTTTGTCATCTTTGAAAATCTTGTTTTTTTTGTCTAAGTGGTGTTCATAATTTTCTCTATGACTTTGTAGGACTTGTGATATCGTCCACTTTTGTAATTTAAATGTTATTTCCGTCCATATTATGAGCTTCTATCCTTTATCAAGAATATTTATATTACAATCCCAGTACTATTCATTTCCGCCAACAGTTAATTATTTTTATCTACTATAATGAATTCAGCTAAACACTGACGTATGCCACTCATGATTTCCTATTTAAAATTCTTAGCCAACTTGATAAAAGTATTTTCAAGTCCTAATAAAGAAAGAAAGATCAGATTTATAGTACAAAATGATATCATTCTACCTCACAGGTTCACATCAGCTGCAAACCAGGTGAAATTACAATAGTCATAGAAGAATGACAATGACACAATTCAATGTCTCAATGCTGTTAGAGAGAACACAACAGTTTCTGTCCTATAACCTATAAGCGTAAGGACACTGTATGACAGAGCTAAGAAGTTATGTTCAACGAACAACCTGGAGGAAGAATCAGACTTTGTTGAGAAACGCCTAAGGGAAAATGGGTATCTAACAGGGCTTATCCAAATGCATAGCAAGGAAATGGGAGAGAAAACGAAACATCCAACTGTTGTAAAGAAGAAAATGTTCATTTTTCTCTGATTCGAAGAAGAAGTAGTATCATAAACCATCGGCAGTAGAGTGAAAGCAGCAATAGAAAGATGCTCCATGGCAGTACACAGTTCATAACACTGTATAGCCTCCCATGCTCTATAAGTCAATCCAGACTGGATAAATACCCTGCTGATGTCGTCCCCAACTGCGTTTATAAAGTTAACTACGCTTGCCAGAGCAGACACTTCGGAAGAAAATAAAGAATGGCTTCTATCCAGTTTTCAGGGCATATCCCAAGAAAATGATGCCTAGAAGAAAGCAGATATTCTCAAAGTGCAATCACAAGACTCCTTGTGGATATGATTCATTTCGTCTTAACTTATAAATCTTTCAAAAAAATTAAACACTCAAAGGACAGCAAATTGAACATGATTGGCTTAAGCAATTACAATCAAACTAAACTAATGCACACTTCAGGGGAGTGTAATCAATCTCTCACTCCCTTGGTAAATGCACTTTGATTACTTTGATTAGTCATCTGTATTAGTAGTTTCAGTTTACTAATTTTTTAAATTCATGAAGTGCCACCTCGTTGACTGGCCATGTAAACCTACAAGCTAACACATTTCCTGTTTTCTGTCTTCTCCTTCGCCTCATTCTTTGTCCATTTTGAATGCACATAAATTGATGATAACTTAAACTGAAAGTTTTGAAGCTTAGATTTTAAATGAGTTAATTTTGTGGTGTTTTCCTGGTGAAGTTGAACTATCATAACCAAAACCACAGTGATCTTGTTGCATAATCGTTGAAAAATACATTAAAAAAAATATTCCAAACTTGATATTACACCACGCAGTTGTAGTTTATATGTTGTAAGAATATCTCCCATACACTATACAGACAATTTGTAGAGAAGTCATGCTGTGTGCGATTTATCCATTCATCCAAATGACTGTTAGATCATGGATGGTATTTTGACATCCACTGATATTTCTGACACTATTCTTCAAACTACTCCTAACTTCTAATCTTAACTTTGACCCTAATCTTAACCTTAACTCTAGACCCTAAACCTTAGTCTTAAGGGTTATAACCCTACATAACAGCATCGATTTACAGAATAATCCATCTACCCGCTCGAAGTTCAGAAAGGGAGACATCCTTTGATTTGGATTGACAGTGTATAGCATTCCTCGAATCTGATTCGTTCTTGAAGGTCGAATTTCAGAAGATCTTCACCTTGCCCATGGCACTTTGACTTCACCGTTTTCTCTACTACCATTCAAATATTGAAGCATTTTATTGTCATTGTTTACAACTGATGTATTTTCAGGTAGTCTGCGCAGTTGACGAGTGCCTGCGAAACAGAATGATGATATCATTTTATCCATCAAATCTGGTCTTTGTTTCATTTCTCTATTGAAACTTATCAACGAAACTAATGTGTGAAATATTTCCAAATATTTTGAGTTAAATACATTCTTGTTATTATTCAGACTGTACTCAGCTGAAAAAACTCGTTAGATAATAAAAAACTTTCAAGCTGAAATCATTTCAGTGGATTTGATATTTTGTTTTTGTTTATTCAAGTTTATTGGTGGGAAGCATTTTGTGAACATTCAAAGTGCTAAATCCTTATGATGTTATATACTCTACCTATTGATGAAAGTAGTTGGATACAAGTACACTTCGGCGATTTATTGCTAGCTGGTTATATCAGTGTAATGTTACCATCAAACGACTATTCTCCAGCTGGACAACCAAACTGCCTACTGTCTAATGAGAGAGATTAAACTCAGAAAAGGACATCATTCTACAAAATCACAATGATTTTGTGGCTTGCTACTTCTGCAAACTGTTAATGCATAAAGTCAGTTTAATAATTTACTAGTTGCTACTATACCCGGCATTTATAACATTAAGTTAATCATGTATTTGGTATGTGAAACATATTTTCCGGGTGAATGTTTTTACTCTGAACTTTGTAACTTTAAATTTTACAACTGCTTAACAGGGAACTAGTTATTCAACAGATTAAACCATCTTCCACGTTCAAGTATCGATTTGTAAGGATTTGATTGATTGATTACAGGATTTCATCATAAGCTGACATTGGCTAGAGAACGATTGGAAAACCTGGAAGTACTGGTGACTGGCTCTATTCAGGTAAGGAAATGGTGACGAGTAGTGCACGACAGGTCGGGTGTGAGGTAAACGTACACTCCGAAGACATTAGCTAGAGGCTGCGCTATTTCATGAATTGGGAGAAATTAGAATTCATAGACTGGTCGTTGGATCGGGTCCCATTGGCTTAGTGATCTACAAGCCCACTGGCATTGTAACCAAAAGGTCTTGGGTTCTAACCATATCGGTGAGTGCATACTGATGAACTGTCTCACACTAGGATGAAACAGCTGTCCACTACTCTCAGCTGGTTTTCCAATGATTCTCTAACTGATGTCAGTTCATAATGAAATCATGTAACCACCTTTCAGGTTATTCACAAAGAAAGAAAGGAGACAGTGTTTTTATATCAAAAATAATTTTATTTTTATTTCACAAATTTACCCATTCCATATGTTTCTTCAAATACGATATCACACACTGATTCAGTTTAGGCGTCAATAAAAAATAGTTAAGCTGCAATGTAACCGATTTGTACAACCCTAAAATATGTTGCTGTTTATGATATATATATATATATATGTATATATATTGGTATGTTTATTCAGTTTTGAGAGTTTTCTGATAAAGATTTTGTCATTGATACTGTCTCTGACCGCGTAAAATTCTCTTTGAGATGATCAACTGATTTCACTTTAGACAATGAGTTCACATTGACGCACTGATCTGTGGTATCAGTATTGGAAATCTTTTTGCTTGTACTGTTGTGTTCATCCATATTATCGACATTGTTTTTATTAGTTACACGTCTGTCAACATGCGTATTAGTTGTAGGAATACCAGGTGTAGGAAAGCTTTTTGCAGAGATAAATGCATTTCTTATACCTCTAAAATCGATAACAGAATGTCGACCAAATTTATTCGATATCTGACAGTCTTCACGTGCTTTACTTAATTCTAGTGCTATTGAATACAAATCAGATCGGAGAAATCGTCGATAAGAATCTTTTTCCATTAAGGATTGAATTCTTCGTTGACATTGATCAAATGTATTCTTGTTAGCTGTTTCAAGATCTTTCTCAGTTTGAAGTCGTGTATTTGAATCTAAATTAACCTGAAATAATAAATTAAAAAAAAACACAAAAATACATTTTAAAAACGATTGTAATCTACTTTATTCCAAAAACAGTACTACTTATAATACAGAATGATATTCGCAGCATCTGTCACAATACTGCATCTGATTTACTTAAAATACAAATAAAATTTAAAATTAAAACAAAATTGACCAGAGGAATTTGTCCACATTTACTACATAAAGTCAGAAATATTCGAAGTACAAAATGAGAATAATATTAATAACAGTGAGTTTGTTTCAAACAGTGTTGTCAATGCCTTTTGAAAACCAAAGCATTTAATAGATTTTTTAATCTGATGTTCTGTTGATGTAGTATAGTGAGGGAAACGAAAAGATTAACACTCGTAACACAGCTTAAACAGCTTAAAAATAAAAACAAAAACTTGAGAGGATTATAAATATAAGAAATACAATAACAATAAAGCTTAAAATTATAAAGGTGGAGGAAATGGTTTATTTAGTAGTGCAAAGAAGGTTAGTTAGTACATGCCTGACACTATTTTCATCACATAAAGTACGTGACAAATATGGTTGGCATCGTGGAATTCGTAGACGTAAACGCACATGCATAAATTCGTCTGCAATGACTGCTTGTTTTGCCTGAGGAGACAAATAGTCGGAGCTGCGAGTAAAGTGGGTGCTCAGTGTCTGACAAAATTCCTTTAGCAATGTCAATGATACTGCCAAATGAGATACCACTGGCCCTATTGACTGACAGTCTTCAGAGTTCTACGAAGTATGACATAGTCTTTTTTAAGCAATTCAGGAAAGATTAAGCAAGGGTAAACAGCAAAGAAAAATAGGTAAATTGTAGAGATCATAACTGTATGTGATAAACATTCATTTCTGTCAATAGATAATCTTAAAAAACTGTTAATATAATTCGTTTTGACGAGTTGATCGTGAATTGATATCACAGTTAGAGAATCATTAAAAACTAGGCAGTGAGTACTAGACAGCTGTTTCATCCTAGTTTGGAAATCATCGACGGTACTCATCCACCACACTGGGTTCCAACCCAGGAGCTTCCAGTTAAAAGACAAGCTACTGGAACCCGACTCAGTAGTCAGTCTATGAATTCTAACTTCTATAAATTCGTGATTTCGCGCGACCACCAACCACTGTCATCGGTGTGACATGTACCCTCACCTTTGATTGGATGTATCTCAATGGCCACGACTTCTCACTAGAACTCCAAGAAAATTTTTCCTATAGCGAGTCACTAGAGAGCATCAGATTAATTTTCAAGAGTTCGGTTTTCCTGTGTTTCTGTAACGGATATCAATCTGTGGTCAAACTCATATAAATTTACATGTATCTGAGTGAGGAAGTATTTACATTGGGAGAACAGGGAGAAGAACACACCTCCAGTTTTCTGAACATGTATCAAGACGCCTACATCTTGATGCAAAAATTGCTTAAAATAGTTTCATTGCCAGACAACTCAACAATACGAGGTGGACATCACAAATAGTCCAGTTATCCTCAGGTTTGCCGAATCTGCTACCATCCAATGCCTAACACTCGATTTATATTTTCTGAAAGGGGAAGTTATCAGTCTTTCCTTGCCCTGGATGTATTTATTCCTCTACCCCCTTCTCTATGGTTCAACTTTGCTTCTTCTTTTGTCCCATTATGTGAGTTGAATTCACCATGCTACTATTCAATTTATTATTCACTCACCATCCTACTCATCATTTTTCATTATTATTTAACTCTTTTACCATTGTATCCAGGGGTTTATTTTTTTGTTTAAACTTTCTGAGTATAAGCTATTATAAGTGTAATTTCTGAGCACTGTTCATTAAATTTGAAGTCTCCTGTCATTTGAACAAAGCAAGAACTACAGTTTTAGCAGAATAATGTGGTACCATCATTTATTTCGTTGGCTTCTCATCAGCTGCCTCTTACAGCCTAAATAAATTTTGAGGTTTAAGTACAGAAACGTTTTAACATACTTGCAAATTTTACATGTTGTCAGTTGACAGAAAATTCCACAATTAGTAAACAGTGCTCAGAAGATTGCGCTTATATAGTTTTCATACAGGCAGTTCAAGTTAAAACGAAATAAGTGTATGCAGAAAATGGTAAAGGCGTTACGTAATAAAGATGAGATGTGCGTAAGATGCATAGTGACTAGTAAGTTAGGTAAAAATGTACTGAGTTCAACCCAAATCATAGAAACAAGAAACAAGCAAAATTACAGATTATAAAAGGGAGGGTGAGGTTAAAGACAAAGATTACGTAATCAGATGAGAGAAAAAAGGCATCCAGTTACCAAGGCAAGGAAAGACTAATAACTGCTTCTTTCCGAACACATAGATCTGGTTTCAAGCGTTTGATAGAAATCGCTTCAGCAAACTTAAGGAGAATTGAGCTCTTTTGCCTATTGATAATTTTGAACGACTTTTCGACGTCCACCTCATGACCCGTGTCGAGGAGATGCCTAGCGATGGCACTGTTTAAAGCATTTGTTCCTTTTAGATATAAGCGTTTTGGTACGTGTTCAGAAATAAATGATGTTACCACATTATTCTGCTAAACTGTAGTTCTTGCTTTGTTCAAATTCATTAAGGGGAATAAATCTATGAAATCTCCTGTCATTAACTGACAATCATGTAATACTTACAAGTCTGGTAAAATTGTTCTCCACATAATTGTACATAATAATGATAATAACAATTTCTCTAGGCCTTACGTACCTGACAAGATGTCGACTGTATAAATGATAATACCATCCATCTTTTCATGTAATAAAAAGTTGTTCTTTCTAAATTCTAATTCATATAAGCGATTCAGTTTGAGTAGTATAATTTTTGCCATCTGGCGACGTCGATATTGATTTCAATTAAATTTGTAGATTTTATCGATTCAGTCACATTTTTTAGAAAATAGGCCACTCCCTAATTGTTAATGTTGTAAAACACGATGGTATAGTCTGGCAGTCAAACCACTTGGATTCCAAGATTAACTCAACGCCTAAATATTCTGAGTAGTTTAATTTTCAGGATTTCGTCATCAACTGATATCAATTAGAGGACCATTGGAAAACCAGCTGGGAGTACTGGACAGCTGTTGCGTTTTGTTCTGGAACTCTTCATCAGTACGCACTCACCGACAGGGTTCGAACCCAGGACTATATGGTTAAGAGACGAGCTTGTAGACCATTAAGCCACTGGGACCCGATCCAATGGTCTATAGCGCTATATTGTCGGTGACATTCGCTAGTGGTTGGACCATACGGTGAATTGCAGAAGTTGGAATCCATGGATCAGTGGATCGGGTCCCAAGGACAATTGTTCACGAGCTCCCCTTGTAACCAGAAGGTTCTGGGTTCAAACGCTGTCGGTGAAAGCCTTACTGATAAAGAGTCTCAAAGTGGGATGAAAGAGCTGTCCTTGCAAATCAACACTTGACTACTGTAATTTTATTGGCTACCACTAAATACCCCCCATAAAAGTGCAGCTAATATCACTTTAATGCAAATTAAGTGCAAATCAACCAGAGAAATCTAATAATTTAACAGTGATATGCTTCACGTCTATTTTGAAACATTTCAGGAAAAATCTGTAAAAACGACTGAATATGTCTGCATGACCAAACGAGCACGACTTTCGTAGATTAGTTCTAGCAATTGTGTATACTGGTGAACATATGACTATGATAGAGTAACAATAAATTGTAATAAACAGAACATATTCTGAGAATGTTCGATAATTCAACACAGTGTTCAACTAGACAGGAGGGATAATTTTTATCTCATTGAATATTTCTTATTGTTGAAGTGCTGTCTGAACTGGCTAGATTAATTGCAAAGCTTCTAACTACGTTTAAAGATCACACATGTTTACTTCCAACAATCGGGGAACTTCAGTTTAAGGCGATCAATGAAAGCGGGTGCCGGCAGCACAGTGGTGGAGTGTTTCCCAACCACTCAGGTGGTCCAGGGTTCGATCCCCGGCCACAGACGTACTCCTTTACCCTTAAGCCAGTAACAAGTTTGGTAAAGAGGGAGGGTTGGGTATGGGATTAGCAAACCCATCCAGTAAAAAAATTGACTGTCTCTACCTTGAAGCTGGGAACGCAAAAGGAATAAAAAAAGGTGTTATCTAGAGGGACTCGGTGAAAGTTTTACAAATAAATCATCGAAATTACAGAACACAGTATCAAGTATTGAGATGATTGTTAAACATCATTTAGAATGAAATATAAATGTGTGGGTGTGTGTATTTTTCAATTTTATTGTCTCAGTACTGATGAAAAACAAATAGTCTGTTTTAGAATTGAAATCTTCTGTCAAATATAACTGTCTTATCTTTTTTTATCCAGACTAATAATCACCATTAAAAAAAATTAGTTTTCTTGATAAATTTGAATAATTGTATGGAGGATTTAATCATGAGCTGATATCAATTTAAATCCTCCATAAAATCAAAACAAATCCCAACAAAACCAACACTTGAAAATTTGAATACAGCATTAAGAAGACAAATTTCGTGAGATGATATCGTCATTTCAAAGTTTCTTCACAACCGCTTTACAACTAACATGGTTAACAACCTGTGGGATTGTACTGTATACTTTCATTTGACACTGCGTAATATCTAAAGTCACGTGTCTAGTACTTTGGTTTGTGCAGACTGAATTGTATCAGTCAAATCCTACAGTGGGTCAATCACAAACACAAGCACATCAATGGTTAACTCCCTGAGTGCATTCCTAGGTGACTCAGCTTCGAACATCAAACTGTAGATACACCTTATTGATGAGTGCCAAGAATTTCGAAACCCTATTTGAAGGCCTCGTACAGGTTGCTTTCAACCATCTAAATATAGTGGAATATTCTGATAGAGGGAACTAAACAATACTGCTAAAACTTTTGTTTGCACTCTACTGTTCGAAAAAGAGCATTTATGTGCCAGGCTAAGAGCCACATTTATCATGTGAGCAGTTATCACACTTATCCATTTGCCAAGGCTGGAATCGATTTAACGCTACTCGTAACTGTGTACCAAAGTAAGCCATCTTTATTAATCTACCATTCAAAGGCGACCAGATTATACAGCTGACAGCTCAAAGACTTCGATCAGGCATCAAACGCAAATTCTACGCCGCATCTCTTTTTCTCACTTGCCGAACATTTTCGATCCCTGTTCCTACGGTTAAAGGACGAAATTCTGTGGACTCTACTTCAAACTGTATCTACAAGTTCACCTGAAGCTGCGGTGACACCTACATAGGTAGAACTAACAGAACGTTCCAATGTCGTCGAAAAGAACATATTCCAAAATGGCTAGTAAATCATATCGAAAATCCTAACGCGATTAATCTTAATGGAAATCCAGCATCATCCATTGCAAAACACTTATTAATGTCTGGTCACAAAATAAATATTAATGACTGTTTCACAATTATTTCACATAACTCTAATTCAAGGTTATTGAAGGTGATGGAAGCACTTTGGATTAATCACATACAGCCTAAGCTGTGTGTACAAAAATCAATAGACTTCAATCTTCGCCTACTATGGACTACATGACCTATCTAAATATGATTGGCCATTAGTATGCACTTTTGTTTTTATTTAACTGAGTAATTTTCATGAACTTTATTTTAACATTGTTAACAATGTTAGTTGTAAAGCGGTTGTAAAGAAACTACGAAATGACGATATCATCTCGCGAAATTTGTCTTCATGCCTTAATAATCATCAATTTATGTGTGATGACTAGTATCAACTATTGAGCTATAATGATGTATTTTCAGGCAATAAGCACGTCTTTTTGTTGGTTACATATATATTTCACAGAATTTCATAATGGTTGGTTGTCATTGTCATCTAGACAGTGGGAGAAAATCTGATATGAGATAGGCTATTAATATTGTATAAGTTAAATGAAAGTCTCTGCTAGACTGTTTTTTAGCATTAATCTTCTTCTCTTTTAAATTAATAACCACAACCCTGACTGATAACTGTTCTCAGATTTTCATTGACTATTCAGTGGTAAATGTTTTATCCCCCAGACAGGTGACTCCTTCAACGCTGGTTAAACAGAAACTGTTTGCATAGCTCGATAAATGATGTCAAAGAATCAGCATTAGCACTGAGAGCTGCAAATCCTCAAAGATGGGTCACAGTTTCGAGTAGCGTTAAATCGATTCCAGCCTTGGCAAATGGATAAGTGTGATAACTGCTCACATGATAAATGTGGCTCTTAGCCTGGCACATAAATGCTCTTTTTCGAACAGTAGAGTGCAAACAAAAGTTTTAGCAGTATTGTTTAGTTCCCTCTATCAGAATATTCCACTATATTTAGATGGTTGAAAGCAACCTGTACGAGGCCTTCAAATAGGGTTTCGAAATTCTTGGCACTCATCAATAAGGTGTATCTACAGTTTGATGTTCGAAGCTGAGTCACCTAGGAATGCGTCGGTGGCACAGTGGTTAGGACTCTCGCCGACCATGCACATGGTCCAGGGTTCGAGCCCACGCCGGTGCACACCTGATATCTATGGTCGGCCTGCAAAATTTGGGCTACCGATATCCATGCTGAAAATTCCATACTTGTACCAAAAATACAGTGTGGAATCAAGCTGTAAATCAAAAATAAAAAAAATAAAAATAAATAACCATTGATGTGCTTGTGTTTGTGATTGACCCACTGTAGGATTTGACTGATACAATTCAGTCTGCACAAACCAAAGTACTAGACACGTGACTTTAGATATTACGCAGTGTCAAATGGAAGTATACAGTACAATCTCACAGGTTGTTAACCATGTTAGTTGTAAAGCGGTTTTGAAGAAACTTTGAAATGACGATATCATCTCGCGAAATTTGTCTTCTTAATGCCTTATTCAAATTTTCAAGTGTTGGTTTGTAGGGATTTGTTTTGATTTTATGGAGGATTTAAATTGATATCAGCTCATGATTAAATCCTCCATACAATTATTCAAATTTATCAAGAAAACTAATTTTTTTTAATGGTGATTATTAGTCTGGATAAAAAAAGATAAGACAGTTATATTTGACAGAAGATTTCAATTCTAAAACAGACTATTTGTTTTTCATCAGTACTGAGACAATAAAATTGAAAAATACACACACCCACACATTTATATTTCATTCTAAATGATGTTTAACAATCATCTCAATACTTGATACTGTGTTCTGTAATTTCGATGATTTATTTGTAAAACTTTCACCGAGTCCCTCTAGATAACACCTTTTTTTATTCCTTTTGCGTTCCCAGCTTCAAGGTAGAGACAGTCAATTTTTTTACTGGATGGGTTTGCTAATCCCATACCCAACCCTCCCTCTTTACCAAACTTGTTACTGGCTTAAGGGTAAAGGAGTACGTCTGTGGCCGGGGATCGAACCCTGGACCACCTGAGTGGTTGGGAAACACTCCACCACTGTGCTGCCGGCACCCGCTTTCATTGATCGCCTTAAACTGAAGTTCCCCGATTGTTGGAAGTGAACATGTGTGATCTTTAAACGTAGTTAGAAGCTTTGCAATTAATCTAGCCAGTTCAGACAGCACTTCAACAATAAGAAATATTCAATGAGATAAAAATTATCCCTCCTGTCTAGTTGAACACTGTGTTGAATTATCAAACATTCTCAGAATATGTTCTGTCTATTACAATTTATTGTTACTCTATCATAGTCATATGTTCGCCAGTATACACAATTGCTAGAACTAATCTACGAAAGTCGTGCTCGTTTGGTCATGCAGACATATTCAGTCGTTTTTACAGATTTTTCCTGAAGTGTTTCAAAATAGACGTGAAGCATATCACTGTTAAATTATTAGATTTCTCTGGTTGATTTGTACTTGATTTGCGTTAAAGTGATATTAGCTGCACGCTTATGGGGGATATTTAGTGGTAGCAAATAAAATTACACTAGTCAAGTGTTGATTTGCAAGGACAGCGCTTTCATTCCACCGTTTTAGTAAATTTTGATTTCTTTGAAATCAGGTCTTGAATGCATAAATATTTGGTTTTTGTTATTGTTTTATTATTTTGCGTTTCTATTGGTGCGTAGGTGGCACAGTGGTAGAATGCTCGACAACCGTGCAAGTCGTTGGAGGTTAGATCCTTTGCCACAAACGTACTTCTTTGCTCACTAAGCCGGTTAAACGACTGGTGAAGTGGCAAATTAGGGCATGAGGTTAGCAACGCTTTCCATAAAATAAACACTACTTCTAACGAAAATTCAAGTCTCTAGCTTGAAGCTGTATGTAGCAGCACTGGGAACTTAAACAAGTTAAAAGCCGTTCCTTGTGGTGCTTAGGGCTACAGACTATATCGCTATTAAGTACCAGTAACAGTATTGCTTTTTTGTACGAGGCAGAGTGAGTTACTAGCCCCACGCCCAACCTTTACACTTAACCGGTCTTATTACCGGCTAAGTAAGGTTTAGCAGTGAGTCAGCTAGGGATCAGATATCGGACCAACTGAGACGTTGTGGACCTGCGGACTCCCGACGCAACAGAATTTACTGGCTTTCATAATTTGATAAAAAGCCCTATTACTCAGTTATATGTCAGTCACTGATACAAGACTTTCGCCTCTATTTGTAAATTGGATCTAGTCATCAACCATGACACGTAGAAGCGGGAACGTACCTTTTTTTCCGTTTTATGGGTTTATAATCTATCAGAAAGAATATACTTCAATTAGACTGGAATACACACTGTGCAGTTACAGTGAATTTGAAATTTCTACCAATAATATGAAGTCAACTTACTTCTCTAGCAGCTTGAACAGCCACATATTCATTGAATATCTTAAAAGCTTTCCGTTGCATATTTTTTGAACCAGATTTATTACGATAATCTTCACAAATAAGCCAAAAACGAATATTTTCATCGCTGAATTCAGTACGCAGAAATTCTCTGAATACCATAACACCATCTTGAAAAGAAGAATATGACAGCAGCAAGTTATTCAATTATTAGTAATCACAATAAAATGTCTTAAATATTTGAAAATTTAGCCACTCAAACTGTTCATATTGCAAAATCTGAAATTGATATACTCGCTGTTTAACGCGTTTCGTTTCACGTCTGATTCCGGATTGATATCAGTTACAGAACCACTAAAAAACAGGTATTCTTGATCGGTTGTTTCGTCTTCATTTGGGACTCATCAGTAATAGGCATTCATGACCCTACCGAGGATTGAACCCAGCGTCCTCAAGTTACAAGTCGAGCTCATTTCCCATCCAACCACTGAGATAGAATCCAATGGCTTGTGAATTCCAACTTTTCAGTTATTGGTTTTTGTAGAGATGATTGTTTGATTGGTTGGAGGATTTCATCACGAACTGACATCAGTTAGAGAACTATTGGAAAACCAGCTGTGAGTACTGGACAGCCGTTTCGTCCTAGTCCGTGGGTCTCAATCAGTAGGCACCCCCAACCAAGGTTCAGACATACGACCTTCTGGTTAAAAGGCGAGCTCGTAGAGCTTTTAGTCACTGACCATTCCATGAATTTCAACTTCTGACAATTCACGACACAGAACGACCGCTTTGCAATGTCTACTTCGAGGAGTTACTGCCTCACCTTCAACTCGTCACGAATTCCCACTAAAACCTCAAGTTAACTACTTGAATAGGGTCTGTCACCAGTCAATTTGAGGCGTTAATTTCGATAAATGCTCTTCTATATACTTTCTGTTGCATCAAGTTTTGACGTTCGCAAATTCCAGCAGACATTAATAATTCAAAAGTGTATAACAGTTTACTTTATCACACCACAGATCATCAGAAGAAGAAACGATGAGAGAAAGGATTAAGGAGAATTCGAATAGATAAAGTAATCTTCTGGCAAGTTATATAATGACACATCACAGAACAAAGATAATTTATTCAAGAAACAAAGTAGTACGATTGAAATGATGATATGCTGTAAGTGCAATTATACTAGTGACTTAATTCATCGAAATTCTTTAGGCAACCTTAACAGCCGCACTTTAACACTTTGAGGAAACGTACATTCCACTGTGTGGATCACTATTGAAGTTAATGTCTATATGCACCACCGCTACTAGAGTTCCAGTAGAGCCAGTGCACCAATGATATCGTCAGAGAACGAGACCCACCATTACTATAACGCCACTATTAACACTATTCACGAAGTGTTGCGCAAAGTTCATCAGGGTCTAGCTTTTAAGGACAGTTTAAATAATGGGTTCTTACCATGTGGTCGTAAGCGTTTTAGTGGTGCTTCTGTGTACACCCAGCAGTCTTCAGAAACAACTGACGGACATATACTGAGGTGTATAAGAAATGAATCAGTGTTCGAAATGGTAGGCTAATCACTTACTTAGGTCATTCTTTTCTCGGAACTGTCTTTTATAAATCGAAGGTGTCATTGATAAATATTCTTGTTATCTTTCATTAAAGAGTAGACTAAAGCGACGTCTCTACAAACGGAGAATTCGTCACTACGTAGTGTGTAATGGCAATGTGTAGAGATATAACAAAATGAAATGTGAATACCGTCATGCGGCTGCTGAGCAAATGATATTTGGGTTCTGGGAATTAATGACAAAAATGTCCAGGAAGGAATTGTGGAGTCAGTTCCAATCGCAGTGCTAATACTCTTACTCACTATGCAATGGTTATTCATTCCTAGCATTACCATTGATACAGACGAATACTCGAAATACAATCAGCTATCCGACTTGGGTTTTATCCATCATCCAGTAGATACCCGTGATGAATTAGCTGTCCAATATACTAGGACCCATACTTATTTAATAGAGGGCCTTTGAAGAAGACTTAAAAATAGGATAAGAGCGATGACCGGATCACAACAGGAACTCATCTTCAGTCACCCTGATGAATACACATATAGAAACTCCCTTGACTTGAAAACGTATGCTCTTCACCGCAAATAGGGGGAAATTTTTAAGTTGTGTCAAGTAAAAATATCCTCTTTAATGAGTTTTAACATTATTTTGTGAGTTTCTCTTGTAAATAAACGTCATTTTTATGCAAAAACCACTGGTTTTTGTGATTGATCACCTCAACGTCACTCGTCCTTTCGTAGCCCAGAGATCAATGTAGTTTAACTTTCTCCTGTTATTCTGTTTCCTATGATGTCAAGAGTGGAGGAAGGAAGCGAACAGAAAGGCGTAGCAAATGTTTTCTTCAAAACAGCTGATGAAATTGAATGATGTGCTTAGTTTCACTGGGTCTACATTTTGCAATCTATATAATAATCAGACATTGGTTTCCTCAACTTCAATCGCTTCCGTACAAATGTGAAATAAAACTGACACTTGATAAGTTATGCAATAAATATCTCGTCTCTATCAAATGTGGCTCTGTCGAGTGAATGCAAGACAAATTCATTCGTGCTATAGAAGATACCTCGTCACACATCAACTTAGCAGAACAGATGCAACTTTCCATGAGGATAGGAAAATAAACTGGAACGCATTCTTCGTTTTTCTCTATGGTAACAAATATAACTCATTCTACAAAGCCTGAAAATTACTATATAAATGTAATGCTAAAAAGATCCATCTAAAGAAAAACGACATGTAACGTAAAACTCACTAACTCTCATAGTTGTTTGCCTCTGTATACAAAACGAAACCTGATCTGTCAAGTGAACCACGAAATCCTTAGAATTTGCAGTCCTGATACTATGGAACGGCAGCTCAACACTCTGAAAAGAACCTTCCTCGAAAATGTCTACCCAGAAAGTTTCATTATGAAGTCAATGAAATCTAAACCGCTTAATTAGCTCACACTTTCTCATCCCGTAAAACTCCTCTACTTGAAACTAAAATTCACTGGAGACTTAGCGATAGTAATACTGATAAACGGTCAGTCTAGTTCCCTGAAGAAGTAAAAATCCCCATACTGAAATCAAACAAGATTTTGAGCGAACAGTTGTCTTCGATAACTTCTTCTTCAGGTTCTGAAAAAAACCTTGTCCGCGGCTGAACGTCAAATAACTTTCTCGACAAAACCAATCCGTTCACCTGATTCTATGAAGCTAAGTATGTCGGCTATACTTACAGATTGCAATCCAAACACATCACAGAATACTTACCCTGATGGCTTTGTAAAGGAGAAAACAGGTATCCCGTCACAGCTGTATCCTTGAACACCTGATCGAATCTGGACATCAAGCTTACCCACAAAGGAACTTAACTTTTGTCTACAGAATACATGGGGGAATCTCGCTAAAAGAGTACGAATCCAACCTTTTGAAGCCTCAGAAACAATTACAATCTACCGGTTAAACCCTGAACTATGCTTACAGAATAATTTTGTTCAGTCATGAAACCTACAAATGGACCTGATCTATCTTAACAACGTATACGCAATTTTTGATTTTGTGTTTCTCAACTGTAGTATTTTCTTCCTCCGTCTCCTGTTAAATCTCTACCCCTTGTTACCAATGCTATTAACTTGATTGTCGTCTAATTTTTGTTGAATTCTACTCAACTCTAACTATTATATTACGTCACCTAATATGCTTATTTAATTTTATTTTTTAGTTTCCACCTGATTAACGCTTCCTAAATTATGCAATTTGTTGTCTAAAATTTACAGTTCTAATGACACATCTTTTATCTACATCGAAAGTATCGTCTCAACTGAAGGTGAAGGAACTGGCGAGCATATCGAAGCGATAGACAGGAAAGCAAGGCATGCTTTCACCACTCTCACTCATCATGAAAACTAAAATCCAGATTTTCAACTTTAGCGTGAAGTCAGTGCTACTTTATGGATCAGAGACTTGGCGCCGCACTGCGTCCCGAAGAGCACCTCATACAATCTACACACCTTCATTAACAGCCGTCTTCGTTCAATACTGAAGATCAGATAGATGGCCAGAACAGATCAGCAGTGATGAACGATCTCTGCCAACTAGCGAAACAACCCATCAGGAACCGAATGTGCAGCAAATATGCAGGAAGAAATGAAGGTGGATTCGCCTTACTCTCAGGAAACAAATCATCAAATGACTGACGTCACACGCCAGTCCATCAGTGTCGAGTGGAACCCGGATGGGAAGTGGCGAGTTGATTGTCATTTCGAGGGTGGCGTGATATGGAGGAGGTGATGTGAAGAGGAGATATAAGCATGTGTTCAGACGTAGAGAGGGGTGATGGAACGTAATGAAGACGTGTAGCTGAAGGCCTATATTCCTCTAGGAACTAAAAAAACAATAAAAATAATAATGACACATCCTTAGAAATATTCGTTTTCTTGATAAGACAATTTTGTAATGCATATGCAAGCGATTGTACAGCTTGAGAAAGATATACCTGAAAAGAATAACTTTTCGCTACAAGGCCTTTTATTTTTAATGTATAAATCTTCAAAATAACAAGGTAACAATGTTTCCATAAAACAATAATATGAGTGTGGACGTGACATTAGGTTTGATTGACACGTAAGAACATTTGTTCCATTTTCCATCTACTGGTGCCTTGTTTATGCACTGGACGAAACCAGTTTATTGTCAGATCACATAGTTTAAACAGACAATTTCAAGGTGATATTTGTTACATTCTAACTCTCCTGATAATACCCTTTCAAATTTGTTTTGTAAATTACGTGTTCAATTAAATTAGACAGTCATAAGAATATGTATCTTTCTGTAAAATATTCCACCCACATATTTACTGCTATACATCTTGCCTAACTATCCCTAGATTTATTCGTGTGGGTAAATATGTGGCGATATAGTTTCTAAATTCAAGCGGGAGTTAAATCGAATCACAAATAATAAATTTACCACTCAAGTTCAAAAGAAAATAACGTTATTGTTTTGGATGAGTTAATCAACCAGCTTCAGTCGATAACTTGTGGTGACGAAGGTTACACTTCACGTAGAAGAAAATGTCGACTTTTTACTTTTGTACAACTACCCTGACTAGTAACTAGAATAATTGAAAACAAATTTTCTGAACTTTGTGGGAATAATGTATTCGTGAAAGTTAGAATTCACGGGCCGTTGAATGGAGTCACAGTGGCTGAATGGTCTACGAACTTACCTTGTTACAAAAAAGTCCTGTATTCTAACCTCAGCGGGTGCGTACAGTTGAAGAGTACCAAACTAGGGAGAAAGAGCTGTGTTAGATGGTTTAAGGCAATCGGTAGGACTGTAGTGGATATTTTTGATTGGACATTAGCCAGTCTCTAGGATAACGTGTGTATGTCTAGTTCTATCTTTAGTGTAGACTGAATTGCGCTGTTAGTTAGCTTTGCAATAAGGCCACCATTCTAGGTAGCTCGCCACCATGTTGCACGTTGAATTATCAATATTAGACGGTTAAATAGCTCAGTGTTAACGTCTTTGAATGTAGCACTCACCGGGAAAATTAGTTTCTTTAGGGTTGCGGAAAAGCCTTCCTGACTAACGAGTGCCGAATTGCACCAAACCTAGGTTGAAGGCTTCCTGTGGCCGATAGCCTGCAACCAACTAATAGCAACAATTCACATTGCATGATGATAGGGAGTCACCTAGCCTGGTGGCCACACATTGCAAACTTGAAGGGCAACAGAATTCAGTCCGCTCCAAATAGAGGGCTAAACATATCACATTACATACTGACTAGTGTGCAATCAAAATAAAGGCGTCTAGAACACCCTGTTTTCCGCTGGTTGCCTAACTGATATCAATCCTTGCTCGAACTTGAAATAATGTATGCACCTGTGTTTATATATAATTAATAGTATTCAATAATTAGTGGAAATCAAAAAAAAAATTCTAAACTTTGATTTCTTGTTTATTGGCTCTCGTTAGCAAGGCGTAACTATAACCTCACGGCTGAGTGCGATTATTGCATTAAATCATCTAATGGTACTCCGATGGAGCGTTTTCTTGGTTAGATGTCGAAAGTGAGAACTTGACTGACACAGTTTAATGGGGACCTCTAACGATTAGAAGCTTGAGAGTGATCACACTCACAGTGGTTTATCTATGTGAATAACAGCACTGCTAATATTATAAGGCGGTGTTGCTTTTGGCATTTTCTATAACGACCGGATAATAAATGCACTGAATATCATTTAACACCACAGTTCACTTGTGCATTCTTTCTAATCTCCCTCTTTCCAAGTGAAACAAAGGGTTTCAAGCTTGAACCCTGAAGTTTTATCAGCCGTAGAGTAAGGTTGCAAGCCCCATGTTTAACCATCCCTTTTTACCGGACTTACCATTGGCCAAACCGTTTAGTAGTACATCGCCCAGGAATCGAACCTCTAACGTATGAGTGTCTCGAGGGCACTCTATCTCATGCAAGCTCTGGATAGAGGTAAATCCATCTGACAGGTCCCAGTTAAGTTTCTACGCTTCTACTGCGTATCATTATTATTTTTTAGGTTTCTAGTGATATACATGGCTTCAACAGCATACCTCCTTGTCATCCGGTTTTTCGCAGTTGTCTTTAAGTGGTTCCAAAATTTCCCCTAAACTGTCACCTCCTGCTAGATGGAACCGATAAAATTCCATCATGCTAACCGTACTAGTATGGATTGAGTCGATATGGATCGAGCATTTTGGTCCAATAAACCAACCAACCAACTAACTAACTAACTGAAAATGAGGACAATAAATTCAACAAATAGTAAGTAAGTTATAATTTGTCAATGAAACTTTGATTAATAAGCTTACATTTATCTCTAAGTACAGCTTCAAATGAACGTGCCCATTCTTCAACTTGTTCTCTTGTTGGCCTACCTGAACGAAACAATTTATTAAGAAATACTCGATGCTTTGAAATAGTAAAATCAGCTGAATACGATTGTGATGAAGTTGCATTCGGTGATTTATAGAATGTACTTAATTTATCACGTACACCGATAGCTCTATAAAATAAATAAAAAACAATGTTTTGGGGATTAACAGTTTTGAATACAATGAATAAGTGGGACAAATGATCATTTGATACATTCTAAGGACTTGTTTTATTTCCCGTCATGAGTGAAAAAGATAAACTTGTGATTAATCTTTCAATGCAATACCTACTCGTCCACTTTACCTGCAGGGGAACGTTTTGCAGTGTTTAGCACAACTTTGATTTAGTTAGTACTATATTATATTATTGTCTCCTTTAGTTTCTAGAGGAATATAGAGCTTCAGCCACACGTCTCCATTGCGTTCGGTTCTTCGCCAACGTTTTCACCTTGATTCACGTCTGCGAATATGCTTTCATCTCTTTTTCACATCATCTCTTCCATGTCATCCCAACTCGAACTGACCACCAACTCGCCACTTCCCGCTCCGGTTCCACTCATGAGTGATAGCCTCACGTTTGATGTCACTCATTTGATGGTTTGTTTTCTCAGAGTATGTCCAATCCACAATCAGTTCCTCGTTGGTTGGTTGGTTCGTTTATTGCCAGAGATCCCTCCATACTGCTTATCTTTCCTGGCCGACCACCTCATTTTGAGTGAAGTACTGAGCGAAGACGGCTGTTGATGAAGGTGTGTAGTTTGGTCGAAGTTCCTCTCGCGACTCGCCAAGACTTTGGTCCGTACAGTAGCACTTTCATTTAGTTACATTCTCTTCAAGGAATATATATATATAAACCTAAGATAGTTATACAATTGGATGTTTCCCTTCAACGCTTATATATAATTAATGTGGAGGATAATACTGAATTCTCATCATATAGTTTCTGTACTGAGATTTATTCATTTTACCAACACAAATCAAATCGATTACTTAGTATCATAGTGATAAACAGAATATACGATATAAGTGACAAACACATATTTCATCAGAAGAGTATTCAATTATGGAATGCTTTTCACTAAAATTCACCTATGTACATGCCATTAAGTCGCTTTCAATTATCGAGCAGAAACCCTACTAACATTCAGGTACCAAATAAAAATCTAGTCGTCTGTGAATTCTGACATCCGCAAATATGCTATACACCATCATTAACAACCATTTTCATCGGTGCGTATCTGTCCTGACACCCAACTAAGAAAACCTAACGATTGCAACGATCTCTTTCCAATCTGAAATGTACATTCGATAGTATAGCGAACTGACAGGCGATAAGGAAACCTGAGCTTCCAAAGTTGTATATATTTCATGAGATAACTCGTCCTTACAGCTGAAGAGGCTGAAACCAGAACGAAACAGCTATCTATTGCTCCTTAGTATTTAGCGACTCCGTAACTAAAGCAAACTCGTAAAACAAATCAGCCTTAAAACTAATGAAATATCCATGTTTATAAAACAGTCAATAAAATAAATGCATGTATGCATGAGCGGCCCTCTTAAAACTTGAGCTACCGAAAAAACCTCCACCAATATATATATATATATATATATATTGCATATAGTTTCTCTTATTCAGTTATTTTTTAACTTACTACAATATGACCTCTACTAGTAATGTATACTCTGGTGAATATTTAAAACATTTATAAACCGCTGATTCAAAAGTTCCAACTAAACATATGAAACAGCGTTATCTTCGATCACGGCTTATCTCATTACATGAGATGACCATCCCTCAGTGATTTCCACAGCCCACACCATGTACACCTTGACGTTTTATTAATTGGCATTCAACAAAATATTGTGTACTTCTCAAAGGAGACAAAGAAGAGAAGATCATAATGGATTCATTTGCTCTTCAGCTGAGATAGAGCTATGTCGCACGACCTTCTGTCAATCAATCTTCTGCTTGAAATTCTTGGACGAAGAGAAAATGTCATTCAATAAGCTCCGCTGAAAACTGTGTACAATATATATATATGTATATATATTGATCGGAATAAAGCTATTATTACTGTTATAATTGATTAGCATGTCAGTTTATCCTCAAACGGCGGGATAAACACCAGTTATGTTTCAGTTTTCTTTTCTTTTTTTCAACATGTTTAGAATTTTTCAAAAATACATCATCTAGAAAAACAATGAAAGTCTGGTATTTGCTTTTTTTGTGTAGAGTTTAAGCGAATCCTAACAAATACAACTCTTGTATGGATAAAATATGAAAGATATCAAAATCTAAGGCGTAATGATTCATTCCTCTCACATTATTAAAATAGAAAAAATAAGTATATATTAGTAGACAACAATCATTTATCCCGACGCAGTTTCACTTCAAGGGATTAAAAATCAGTAGGGTGTCAGTTACAGTGAATCACAGATTAACCTAGAACATCCAGTTTCTAATATAACATATTAATTAAAACAGCTTTCATGGTGTTAATTTTGCTGAGAAAGTCATCAAAATAAACACCAAAGTTCTTCAAATGACTAGCTTTCAAAGCTGATTTGTAAGGATTTGATTTATTTTTCTTGTTAGACCACAGATTGATATCATTTAGAGAGCCATTGAAAAAACCAGGCAGTGAGTAAGAGACAACCGTTTCGTCTTCGTTTCCGACTCGTTGACAGTACACATTCAACGGGTTTCGAAACCAGGACTTTCCGGCTAAAACGCAAGCTGGTAGACAATTCAGCCATTGGGACTCGTCTCAATGGCCAGTTCACGAATTCTAACTTCTACCAATTAGTGATTTTACCGTGACCACCACCACCACCACCAACTAATGTAATCTGTGGGAACTTCATCGTCTCAACTGACTAGATAAACCTCCATGGTCACGATTTCTCACCAGGACTCTTGACAACTTCACCCTGTAGCCAGTCAATAGAGAGGATCAGTTTTATTTTCAAGAGTTGGTCTGTTAGCACGAACTCGCCTTGTGACTAGAAGGTCCTGGGTTCAAACCCCTACGGTGAGTACATACTGTCTATGAGTTTCAAGAACTAGGATGAAACAGCTGTCCAGTAAGTACTCCAGCGCTGGTTTCCAATGCTTCTCTGACTGTTATCGATCTGTGGTCTAACTTGAAAATGGATAGTTGTTTTCGTTGTTGTTCGACCCACATTACACATTCACTTTACTTTGAAATGTGTTACTTTTATGTATAATATTGTTGACGATTAGTTGAAAAGTACAGCAAATTATATCTAAAGTCTGTTGTTGCTTTTGTTTACACATGATTAGATTACAACATTGAAATTGACCTATATATAAGGTTATCATTATTATTAGTTTTCACCTTTTTTCAACTGGTGTTAATTTGCTTTCGTGTGTTAAGAAAAAAAGGCAACTGTCTGAAGAATTAATTTTTCTAGCTAGTCAATCTCTGTTGGATTTGTTTTGATACAGTGAATGATTGTTTATCATTTGTAAAACTGTTTCATTTTTGGTTTTGTTTCAATTTTTTCTCTTCTTTTTGAAACAGAGTTTATGTAACAAAATACCTAACAGATTTTGGATTTGATTTATTACAGTGCAAAGTACAGCAACAACAACAGACAATAAACAGCCAGCATAAATGGGAGAACCCTTAAAGATGCACCCTCCTTCACCTGCCTACCTGGGTAGCATCGTTTCAACTACTTGTGAAGAAACTGACTAGGATGTGAAAGCAAGGATTGGGAAAGCAAGGCAAGCTTTCATTACTCATAAGTCGGTGTGGAGGTCAACATCACATAGCATAAAAAATAAGAGCCGCATCTTGAACTGCAATGTGAAGTCAGTGCTACTATATGGATCAGAGACTCAGGCGCTGCTTCACGATAGGGACTTCGAACAAACTACACACCTTCACCAACAACCGTCTTCGCTGAAGATCAGATGGCCAGCCAGAAAAGATCAGCAGTAGAGAGGGATCCCTGGTAATCAGCAAACCAACCAAGCAGAAACCGATAGTGTAACAAATACGCAGGAAGCAATGGAGGTGGATTGGCTATACTCTGAGAAAATAAACCACCGAATGAATGACATCACATGTCAGACCATCTCTCGAGTGGAACAGGAATAAGAATCGGCGAGTTGGTTGTTATTTTTAGAGGGGAGAAAAGCATGTGTGCAGATGTGCAGCGGGATGAAGACGTTAGTGGAGAGCGGAACGCAATGGAGACGTGTGGCTGAAGCTCTATGTTCCTCTAGGAACTGCAGGAGATAATAATAATAGTTACAGTGAAAAGAATGATTCTTTCTAGACGAGCTATAATAATGATACTTGTTTACGAAGTTATCACTCTTCTGAAATTCCAGTTCACAGATCTTCACTGTACTGTTATACCCAGCTTCTGTCGACTACAGGGGACACCTCTGAAAATGTTAACTGTTACATGATCAAGTGGGTCTCATGGTCAAGTGGTTAAGTCGACAAGGTTTTGGTGTTTGTGATAATGGGTGCTGCGTTTCAGCCTCAATTGGAACATCATCACTTAGTGGACGGGATGCAGGCACATGTGGCTGACGAGTCTCAGAGAGGATAAAACTAACCTCCTGGATTCCACTGCCACCTAGCATTAATCAAAAGACTAATTGAAGGAGAAAACAAGAGTTGGTACAGGTTTCATGAAACGTGCTTGCAGTTAATTAATTGATGGCATAGGAACTCAAAAAGATAACAGTTAAAATATTCTTTGCATAAATATTGTAGTAAAACTCTCCACTTGCTGCAAACTTCCTATACACGCAAATGATAAGCTACAGAGGGTGATGACTTCCATGTCCATTTATAAGTTTAACTGCTGTTGCAGAGACAGTTGCGTAGGTAGGATAATTCATCAGTCCCAGCGTTACCTTCTTAAGCATTATCTAACGTGCTCACGATAAGGAATAGTAGGGTAAATCAGGGATTTCATGATGACACACCATGTGGATATGGAGTAAAATATCATATCAATTCTCCAGGTTTCTACACGTTCATTTGCTAAGCAGAGATGAGGTGGTTACCACAAAAATGTCTTAACTTAATCTACACATTAAAAAAAAGACTTTCCAGTCACTGTATAATCTATGAACTTCAGCCCC